AAATGAATATGTATATACATACACACACACACACACATCCTATACCTAATTTAAAATTCCTTTAAAAAAAATTTTTTTAATCCTCACCTGAGGATATTTTTCCATTGATTTTTAGATAGAGTGGAATGGAGAAAGAAAAAAAGGGAGAGAGAGGGAAAGAAGAGAGAGATGGAGAGAAGCAAAGGGCGAAAGGGAGAGACAAACATCGATGTGAGAGAGAGACATCCATTAGTTGCCTCCTGCACGACAGAGGCCGAACCTGCAACCCAGGTACTCACCCTTGACCAGAATCGAACCAGAGACCCTTCTGTCTGAGGGCCAATGCTCTAACCACTGAGCAACTGGCCAGGGCTTAATGATTTTTAAAAATTTTTTTACCCTCACCCAAGGATATATTTCTATTTATCTTCAGGGAGAGTGGGAGGGAGGGAGGGAGGGAGGGAGGGAGGGAGGGAGGGAGAAACATTGATGTGAGAGAGACACATCAACTGGTTGCCTCCAGCACGACCCTGACCAGGGCCAGGACAAACGAAAACCATGGTGTGTGCCCTTGGCTGGAATTGAACCCGGGACTCATTGGTCTGCTGGCCGATGCTCTACCACTGAGCCAAACCGGCCAGGGCCTTTTAATATGTTTTTTCTATTGATTTTAGAGAGAGAGATAGAAACATCGATGAGAGAGAACCATCAATTTGCTGCCTCCTGCACGCCCCCTACTGGGGACTGAGCCCAAAACATAGGCATGTGCCATGACCAGGAATCAACTGACCTCTTGGTGCAGGGGATGATGCTCAACCAACTAAGCCACACCACTGGTAAAATTCCTTTTTGATTCAGAGGTTATTCTAAAATCACTCTGTGCCTCAATATCTTTATGTCATTCATTCACTCAACAAATATGAGTGCTATTCTATCAAGTACTATGCAAAGCCACCATAGAGGAGACATTTAAATGACCCTTGCACTTCAAGGAGCTCACAATCTAATGGGGATAAGTGACATAAAAACAACTATAAGACATACAAACAACAATAACATAAACCCTATAAAAGGTTTATGAACTAGCAGTGATTGCAAAATTAGTTCTCAGTATTCTATCTTGTTTATATACTTAACTACTATTTTTATTAGTGTAACACCATTATCTCACACATTAGTCAACAGCCTCATGTGCCCTTCTTGGTTCTTTCCAATCCCTCACTTTACCCAATCCTTAATATTGGAACAACAAACTCATCTAGTCCCTCTTTTATCACTTAGTTCCAAGAGCCTTTTAAAGCTAGATAATATCTCCACTCTGAATAAGGGAAAGTGTAAAACCACGGACTGAGTCATCCCTCACATTATTTGGCAGCTCAGAACTGCTGCCCCAAATAATGAAGCTGCCCATAGAATGAAAGCTCTATTTAAAGTAGCTAAGCCCTGGCCAGTCTGGCTCAGCAGTTGGAGCACTGGCCTGGGGACCAGAGAGTCCCAGGTTCAGTTCCCGCTAGGGGCACGTACCATAAAATAAAAAATAAATAAATAAATAAATAAATAAATAAAGTAGCTAATAGCCCTGGCTGGGAGGCTGAACTGGTTGGAGCGTGGTCCTGGACACCAGAAGGTAGTAGGTTCCATTTCCGGTCAGGGTACATACCTAGGTTTCGGGTTTGATACCCAGTCCAGGAGTATATGGGAAGAAAACAACTGATGTTTTTCTCTCATCAATGTGTGTCCCTCTCTCCCTCCCTCCCACTCTTCCTCTCTCTAAAAATCAGTAAAAACACATATCCTTGGTGAGGATTAAAAAAATAAATAGCCCCGGCCAGTTTGGCTCAGCGGTTAGAGCACTGGCCTGGGGACTAGAGAGTCCCAGGTTCAGTTCCCACTAGGGGCACGTACCATAAAATAAAAAAATAAATAAATAAAGTAGCTAATAGCCCTGGCTGGGAGGCTGAACTGGTTGGAGCGTGGTCCTGGACACCAGAAGGTAGTAGGTTCCATTTCCGGTCAGGGTACATACCTAGGTTTCGGGTTTGATACCCAGTCCAGGAGTATATGGGAAGAAAACAACTGATGTTTTTCTCTCATCGATGTGTGTCTCTCTCTCCCTCCCTCCCACTCTTCCTCTCTCTAAAAATCAGTAAAAACACATATCCTTGGTGAGGATTAAAAAAATAAATAGCCCTGGCCAGTTTGGCTCAGCGGTTAGAGCACTGGCCTGGGGACTAGAGAGTCCCAGGTTCGGTTTCCGCTAAGGGCACGTACCTCAGTTGCAGTTTGTCCCCAGCCCCGGTTGGGGTCGTGTGGGTGATAACCACTCGATGTGTCTGTCTCACATTGATGTTTCTCTCTGTCTCCCTCTCTCCCTCATGCTCTATCTGAAGATAAATGCAAAAAATGTCCTCAGGTGAAGATAAAAAAAGAATGAATGAAGATGTGATAATAAAAGTAGGAACAAGCTAGAAGGCATTTCCAAGATAATAAGAGTCCAATCTTAAACCCATTTCATTTACAGAATGCCAAGTACTATATTTTCACACTATAAACTATAATCAAATCTTCACTAATCAAACTAATCAAGATAGAAAATTTAATTTAAAAACCATTAAACTGGTAGCATCACCTGTAATGCACAAGAAAAGTACAGGCTTCAGAACTCAGAGACCATCAAGATTTTCTGGAAAGAACTATAAACAGTGCAATGTGTAGGCATTATGAAAATATCCTTATCTTGTTTCTCAAAAATAAAAAAAAAAGCCCTGACCGGTTTGGCTCAGCGGTTAGAGCGTCGGCCTGCGGTCCTGAGAGACCTGGGTTCAGTTCTCACTAAGGGCACGTACCTCGGTTGCAGTTTGTCCCCGGCCCTGGTTGGTTGTGCGGGTGGCAGCCACACGATGTGTTCCTTTCACATCGATGTTTCTCTCTCTCTCTCGGTTCCTCTCTCTCCGTCCCACTCTACCTGAACAAAAATGGAAAAATGTCCTCGGGTGAGGATTAAAAAACAAACAAACAAACAAAAAAAAAACACTACAGAAAAATAACTAGGTATAGTTTTTACCAAGAGCTTTTCTTAAGGCATATTTTTATAAAGTTGTAATCATGGACTCTGAGCACCACTGAATCCTTTCACCACTTAATAGCACATCTGTTATAGTCTTTATAATCTATTTTAACAATTGCCTAATATTCCACTGAGTAATCATTTTTAATTAATTCCTCAACTTTTGACATGTCATAAAATGCTGAAATTAGTATTCACGTACTTAGTACTTTTCCTGTATTAAAAATTATTTCATTAGACTACACTGTTTCCTAGTTTCATTTTTAAGTCAGAATAGGCTAAAAGTAATTGGGACTGATTTCAAAGGAATGAGAGCTTAAGTTGACTAGAATTGGGGATTCTGGAGCTCCTGATCATTTAGAAGCTAGAGGCACAAGAAGAGAGGAATAATGAAAACAAATAACCTGGACAAATCAATAACACTACTTTAAAAAAGAGAGGACATAAACTGGGTGCCTTTTAAATGTAATACTAACATTGAGGTTTCAAAACACTCTTTTATTCTCTAATAAAAAGATATACCAAATCCTCCTATCCCAGAGGATGTGGTCGTGAGGATGCTATAAAAACAAAATTTCCCATGCACTATTGGTTTGTAGGTACAGAAGACAAAAAGGCTATGCTACTTGGGAGGGGTACATATATCAACGATTATTTTATTAAATACTTAATGGGGGTATAAATGAAACAAGGCTGACCCTTGTAGGGCAACTAATTCAGAGATGAAATATGGCTCCAGGAGTAAAGGCATCTGGGAAAGGGATCCTCATGTTTAACCTTCAGTGGCTGACTACCCAAAAAGCAGGAATGCTACCCAAAGATAAACCTCAGGCCTCTGGAAGGAGGTTAATGAATGTATGAGTGTGAATAACTGCCTGATGTTATCTGTTAACTCGGAAATGCACTGTTTTTTTCTGGGGGTCTAAGTGACTACCCACCACATGCTTTTACTGTAAACCCCTATAAAAGGGACCCTGTCCTGGGAGGCTGTGGACTTCTTCCCCGCCGGCCCCGCGGGAGCAGCTGCCTTGCCCCTGTATGTAAGTCTCTCCCATTAAACTCAGGAACCTGAACAAGGCTACGTGTCAGTTCTTCCGAATCAATCCTGAATCTAGACTTCAGGCTTTCCCCAAGTCCCAAATTGATTGTTGCTGAAACTGGATGAAGGAATTCATTATATTCTTTACTTTTGTGTTTGAAATTTTCGCAATACAAAGTTAAAAAAATAAATACATAAGCATAACAGAAAAATTACAATCCCCGAGAAGAGTTAAAACCAGCTCTTAATTTAAGTTTGACTTCATTGCCTAGTAAAGCCGCTCGTGCCTCCCGCCCCCCGGGAAAGTTTCCGCGGGGGAGGCCCGGGTCCTCGCCCGGCACGCAGGCAGCGGGGCGCAAGAGAACGGAGAGCGGTCTCCGAGGCCGCTGTTCGCTTCAACTAAAGAAAAAGGCCATTTCCTCCAGCCAGTGGGCCCCGGAAGCGGTCCCGGAGGCCGCCGGACTCCGAGGCGAACACACCCTGGCCGACCGGAAGGCACAACCTGCCCGATGTCTTTCTGGGCCTGAAGAAATGGGGCAGGTGTGTCGCTTTTCGGTGCCGTAAGTGCAGACCGAGCCCTTTCACCGATGGGCACCGGGGCCCAGGCGCGGCGTTCCCGCGCCGGGGGAGAGACGCCTCTGGACAGGGAGGACGACAGGCAAGTTTGGCGGCTTCAAGTATCCCGGACCAGCGGTCTCCCGGCTGCTCGCTACCCTGTCACGCCCCCGGCCCCCGGCGGCCCGCGCCGCAGCCTCTCGGCCTGACCTCCGGCCTGACCCGCACACCCACTACCCTTCCCTTTCTCTTCCCATGCCACAGCCGGGGGGTCTGATCCCCGGGCCGGGGACTGCTGAACCCCGGCCGCAGTGGGACGAGGAAAACAAAGACCCTTGACGCCGAGGATGCCACACTGACCTGCTGGAAACCGGGCTGCACGCGGCAGAGACGGACTCCGGAGTCAAGTTTCAGCACCCAAAATGGCGGCGCGCGGGCCTCAGCACCGCACCCGCGGGCGGAGGGATCCGCGGGCCGCGCTAACCTCGCTCTCCTTCCCAGGGATTGGCTGAGCGCCCGCCGCTCGGGACTCACGGCCCGGGGACCTCGGGGCTCCCGCGCCCCGCTCCCTTTGGAACCCGCGCGGCTGGGGACTACTTCCTGCGGCGGAGGCTCGGGCGTGATGCGTCCCGCCACCCCTGAGTGCAACCTGAGTCACCGGGGGCGGGTTCGCGGGTCAGCCCCGGGCGCCGGGAGCGGCCGGCGGGGCTCGCGGCCAGTGCCCTTGCTGCAGTTTCCACTCCCCGGGAAAACCAGCTCCACTGCCTTTCACCCACGCGGAGTTACTGCCTGACATCTCCCTTCGCTCGCTCCACCCCACTCGCCCTGCGGGCTTTAACCCTGAGGCTCGGGCTCTTTCTTCAGGTGAAATGGCCGAGCCGGTTTCGACCCTTCTGTCAGCTCTCCGCTGTTTACCCGACCCTTCACCCTCCTCTCTTAGTCGCCCCGTCTCTCCATCCACGCACTCTGCTACACCTGCCCCGCTTTTGAACCGAGTCTGATTGCTTTTTCAACCAGAACCTCTACAGTCTGTATTTAATTCATAGTCAAACATGTTTCCTTAGTACCACATTCTCTGGGAAGTTACCTTACCTCTGTCTTCAGAGGAAACTTTTTCATTTAGTTACCTTTGCTTTCAACTTGAAAACCATTCTTTCGGCTCAGCGTTGGAAGGGGCTTCCTGGCCTCTTGCTTCTGGTAGGAAGCAACCCTGCCCCCTGCTGTAGAGGCTGCGTCCTCCGAGACCGAAACTGGTTCGTTCGCTAAATTGCGATGCAGTCATGTGACAGGGATCGACGTGTGCGTTACCATTGTGAGGTTTACATAAATTGAGAAATAATGTGCCTTTGTAACACTAAAAGTATTTCTAAATAAAACCAGGTTCCAGAACCTGAAAATTCACAGTGTTTGGTTCCTTTTAAATGTGTGTGTGTGTGTGTATGTGTGTGTCAGGGAGGGGGGGGGCAGTAAATGTAATTATTTATTTCCAATGTTTTGTCTCTATAAGCAATGATGCAATGACTAGATATTTGCCTGCATGAATTGCACTTATTGGGTAAATTCCCAGAAGCAGAACTGTGTCAAAGGATAAGTATATTTTTAATGTTAACAGATAGTGCCAAATCACCCTCCAAAGAGGAAGTATCAATTTACACCACCACCACCACCACCAATGTATGAGATTTCTTATTTTTCCATGCCCTCAGTAGCACAGTGTGTTTCGATAACTTTTGGAATCTATGACATTACTGCAACTTTGTTCAAACAATGAAAGTAAAGATGAGTGAAAAGTGCCTTTGAGCCCATGCCTTACTAAAAATGACATGATTCAGCCCTGGCCGGTTTGGCTCAGCGGTTAGAGTGTCAACCTGCGGTCTGGAGCGACCCGTGTTCGGTTCCCGCTAAGGGCATGTACCTGGGTTGCAGTTTGTCCCAAGCCCTGGTTGGGTTGTGCGGGTGGCGACCACTCGATGTGTCCCTTTCACGTCAATGTTTCTCTCTCTCTCTCTCTCCCTCCCACTCTATCTGAACAAAATAAGGAAAAGCGTCCTTGGGTGATTTAGAAAAATTTCTTCCTGCTGAGCAATGGCTTGGATTCAGTAATCACCACCTTGTCCTGCCCTTTCAAATTATTTAGATTCTATAATTCATCAATGTGAATTGTACCATAACCAGCCACTTATTCAAAACAGTATCTCTGTCCCTAGCTGAATAAACCAGTTTTATTCAGATGCTAAACATAATCCAAAAAAACAGACTCATACTTTTAATTTGAAAGTCTTGTTTTGCTGTTAGGATAAAAAGTAACACATAACATTTCTGTGGTTAACTAACCAGTAACACTTTTTGTGCAAATGATTATAACTAGTGGCTGAAACTAAAACCTGCTTGAACCCAGAAGAATAAGAGTCCACATAACAGGCCTGCAGGCCAAAATCAGGCCTGTTTTTGTACAGCCCCTTCAACAAAGAAAAGAGGGGGTGGGGCAGGACATGTGACAAAACCCTATGTTGTCCACAAAGTTTGAAATATTTACTGTCTGGCACTTTACAGAAAACGTTTGCTGACTCCTGCAATAGAAGAAAGTACTGTACTACATATTGTGTGAGGAAGAAGGAAAGACGATGGGCAGAGACTAATTTGCCTTTTTTTTTAAGGGGAAAGTCTCAGAAAGCTTTTAGATTAAAGAATATAAAATGTAAAGAAACTGCTCTGGACATTTATCTTCCTAAGACCCAAGGAAAAATCAAGAGCATTTTTTTATAGTATCTATAGAATAATTCTTCAGATAACTTATTATTAATTGGAGCTACATACAAATATTAACTATCTATGGCATTTTGCAGTTTACAGAGTACTTAACAGCACATTACCCTAATTTGAGGCTTGCACATTTCTATGAAGCAGCTGTCGATCAGAAATTATTTTTAGTTATTTTAGGAGGAAAGTGGAGCTGAGAGCTATAAAGTGACCTATCCAAGGTCAGTAGTTTAAGTGCCAAGATCATATCTTGAACACAGATCTGAGACTTGATAATAATTTGTCTCCTGGTTTTCCCTTTGATGTATGTATGTTGAGTTTATCAACAAAAGAAAAGACAACTGCATTAAATCAGAGTAGGGTGCACATATAAGATTAAAGGAGTTCTCGTCTAGCCTGTATAGCTCAGTGGTTGAGCATCGACCCCTGCACCAAGAGGTCACTGGTTTGATTCCCGGTCGATGTTCTCTCTCATCGATGTTTCTATCACTCTCCTCACTTTCTCTCTCTCTATAAAATCAATAAAGGAAAAAAAAATTATAAAAAACAAAACGTTCTCAAATCATATTGTTTTCATGACATTTATCATCATTGTAATCATCTTAGAAAACTTTATTTTTTTCTTAAATGAATTCAAAGGAATGAAAACTTATAACTCTAGATTTCAAATATAAATTCAAAAGTTTAGATTATCTTCTTAAAATCTGAGGTTCTTACCAAGATTGCATAACAAAAAAAAAAAAAAAACCCTGTACCACTCAACTAAAGGTAGCTGCTTCTGTCCAAAAACAAACAAAAATAAACAAAAAAGACTATGATACTGGCATAAAGACAGACATATCTATAAATAGAATAGAATTGAAAGTCTAGAAATAAACCCCATACAGTTACAGTCAAATGATATTTCAACAAGGATAATAAGACAATTCAATGTGGGCAAGAATAAACTTTTCAACAAATAGTGCTGGTAAATCTAGATGCAAAAATAAAGTTGTACCTCATCTGCTTCACACTTATACAAAAATTAATTCAAAATGGATCAAAGACTTAAAGGTAAGAGTTAAAACTATAAAACTCTTAGAAGAAAACATAGGTGTAGCCATGGCCAATGTGGCTTGGTTGGTTGGGTGTCATCCATGCATCAAGAGGTTGCAAGAGCAATCCCCAGTGGGGGTTGGGGGTGTAGGAGGCAGCTAATCCTTGTGCTCTCACATTGATGTTTCTCTTCTCTCTAAAAAATCAACTATTCTTTTTTTTTTTTTTAATTTATTGATTTTAGAGAGAAAGGAAGGGAGTGGGAGAGAGAGATAAAAACATTGATGAGAGAGAACATCGATTGGTCATCTCCTGCATGCCCCCCACTGGGGATTTGGCCCACAACCTGGGCATGTGCTCTGACCGGGAATTGAATTGGCGACCTCTTGGTGCACGGGTCCACGCTCAACTACTGAGCCACGGCAGCCAGGCAACAAACCATTCTTGATTTTTGTTTTTAATCATCACCTGAGGATATTTTTTCCATTGATTTTCAAATAGAGTGGGAGGGATGCCCTGGCCAGTTTGGCTCAGCGGTTAGAGCGTCAGCCTGTGGTTCATGGAGACCCAGGTTCGATTCCTACTAAGGGCATGCAACTTGGTTGCCCTTTGTCCCCAGCCCTGGTTGGGGTCGTGGGGGAGGAAGCCATTCGATGTGTCCCTTTCACACCGATGTCTCTCTCTCTCTTCCTATCACTCTAACTGAACAAAAATGAAAAAAAGCCCTGGCCGTTTCGCTCAGCGGTTAGAGCGTCAGCCTGTGGTCCAGAGGGACCCAGGTTCAGTTTCCGCTAAGGGCGCGTACCTAGGTTGCAGTTTGTCCCTGGTCTTGGTTGGTTGTGCGAGTGACAGCCACTTGATGTGTCCCTTTTTTTTTTTATCCTCACCTGAGGACATTTTTCCTTCTTTTTTTTTGTTCAGATAGAGTGGGAGGGAGAGAGAGGGAGAGAGAGAGAGAGAGAGAAAGAGAGAGAAAGAGAGAGAGAGAGAGAGAAACATCAACGTGAAAGGAACACATTGAGTGGCTTCCACCCGCACGACCAACTAGGGCCGGGGGCAAACTGCAACCGAGGTATGCGTCCTTAGTGGGAACCGAGCCTGGGTCTCTCTGGACCGCAGGCTGATGCTCTAACCGCTGAGCCAAACCGGCCAGGGCTCGATGTGTCCCTTACACGTGGATGTTTTTCTCTCTCTCTCTCTCTTCCTCTCTCTCCCTCCCACTCCATCTGAACAAAAAATGGAAAAATGTCCTTGAGTGAGGATAAAATAAAATTTTAAAAGTCCTCGGGTGAGTATAAAAAAAAAAACTATAGAGTGGGAAGAAGACAGAGAGAAACACTGATGTGAGAGAGAGACATATAGATTGGTTGCCTCTTGCACAACCTTGACCAGGGCTGGGGATCAAACTGAAACCTAGGTACATGCCCTTGACCGGAATTGAACCCGAGACTCTATGGTCTGCAGGCTGAAGCTCTAACCACTGCGAACATTAGCCAGGGCAACAAACGATTCTTTTTTTTTTTTTTAAGTTTTATTTTTTAATTTTTTAAATTGATTTTTAGAGAAAGTGAGGAAGGGGGAGGGAGAGAGAGACAGAAACATCAATGAGAAAGAACATTAATTGGCCACCTCCTGCATGCCCTCTACTGGGGATTTGGCCCACAATCTGAGCATG